TCGAGGACATAGAGACCGTTGGTCATTTTTGCAGTTGCATAAAATATTTCATTTCTAAAGACAGAAAGAGTTTTGTCTTTTACAACGAACGAAAATCCTGCTTTGTCAAGGCAGGATACAGAAATGATGTTTCTGCTCATACTGGGTACAAACAGACAATTATTTAACTGCAATACAAGACCACTAGGTAGAGATAAACAATAGGTTCCGACGGCTAATGCATTTACGAGTGCGCCATTGCCGACTTTTAGTTGTATCTCTCCCTCCGTCAATTGTCTACGTTCATGCAGATCCTGCATAGAAGTACACATGTGAGAACCACATCCAGTATCCATCACCCAAGAGGTGATATCAGACATATTGACTTCAATAAAGAAGAAACCTGAGGTTTGAAGTTTCTTTCCCTCTTTCCTCTCTTCCATTAATTTTGCGCAGTTGCGCCTCCAGTGGCCCTTTTTGCCACAATAATAGCATACAGCAGACTTCTTCTTAGATCCTTCTTTGGGTTTCAACGAAGAGGAGTTGGACGCTGGCTTGGGTTTCTTAGAACCCTTGCGCTTGGTCCCGGCCGGCGAACGTGGCCCACTCTTTTTTGCAATAGTACTGCCCTCTACCATCAGGACAGACTTACCCTTGCCCTTCCCTAGCCTCTCCTCAGCAGTTGTGAGGAATTTCAATAGCTCAGGCATAGTCATCTCTAGTTTGTTCATGTAGAAGTTCTCTACAGTTTGACTATACTCAGCTGGTAATGATCCCAAGATGAGATCAGTTGCCAGCATAGGGTGCAACGGGGCCTCCAGTTTTTCAAGAGTTTCGATCTGACCGATCATCTTGAGAACGTGGGGACCAACTGGGTTACCCGTTGCCAGCTTACTGGAAAACAGAGTCGTAGAGATTTTGAAACGCTCATGTCTAGCCTGGCCTTGGTATAGACCTCTCAAGTGAGTCATCATAGGATGAGCTTCCATGTCCTTATGGAGCCTTTGGAGCTCCGGGGTCATGGTGGCTAGCATGAGACATCTCACATCACGTGCGTCGTCTTCATACTTCTTCTACGAAGTAATTTCTGCAGCACGGGCGTTCGCTTCAGGAGCTTTGCGAGGCTCAGAGATAAGGACGTAGAGCTTTTTCTCGCATTCGAGAACAATCTTAAGATTCATCTCCCAATCAAGAAAGTTGGTTCCAGATAATTTTTCCTTTTCTAGAACATATCGCAGGTTGAAAGGGTTGTTGTTGTTTGCCATCTACAGAAAATTTTGCAAACTAGGTTATCTATCATGTTTAATAATTAATTAGGCCTTTAATTAATT